ACTTTTCCAAAAACATGTTCCTCAGCCGGTCTCTATACGTCTAGGAACCCTCACTGCTCACTCCGAGTGTAGGGCAAACTGCATTGCATGCCCATGGCAGCCGTAGCCCCGGTCAATGACATGATCTTCAGAAAGCTTGGTGTTGAGACGCCAATCCCTCCCAACCCATCGTGTCAATCCTGAGTGCAGTTTGCTACCTGCTGGGTCGCGCATCCTTCGAAGACAAAGTTCGGGTGTGTTCATCTTCTCAGGTCCCTTCAGCTGCAGCAGCAGGGGATTCCGCAATCCTGTCCGGAGTGTGCGACGAAACAGCTGAACTGTTGCATTCTGCTGAGATTTTTGCTGCTGAGTGCCTTCGTCATGCATAGCAACATTCAGTGAAATTCTTGAGTCTGAGGACGCATCCAGAGGCAACGGTAGTCCACTGGAAGTCTCCGTCACTGTTGGGAGCTTCGTGTATGGAGGTGTACAGTATACGGCTTGAGAATTTCGTCTTCGGCTTATCCCAAGACGACCACCGTCCTTGCCCGATGCCGATTCATGAGGCAAATGTGTCCTGAAGCTGTGTTCACAAGCCTTGTATTGCTATGCGGCATACCGGCGAAAACGGAAAAGTCACTTGGATCGCAACAACCCCCAAGCAAGGGCTACTTTAACACCATCGTCAATATCACACCCTTTTCCGAAGGAAGTTTGTGGGTTCAGCCTGATTCTGGGGCTGTGCCATGTCCTGATGGGGAGGTTGAATCCACAGGTGAGGTGCTCGAGTTTGACACGTCGCCGATGCCTGGAGTCATCCGGCTTGATTCGCGCAGGCGGCACTGCATCTTACCTTGGAAGGCTGGTCCTGGGATTGGTTTGTTGTTAAGGAACGGGGGCTTCTGAATCAGGGCCTCATGCAAGACTTGGCAACTTTGGGCTTAACCTTCCCCACGTAGTTCTCGAGCTTCCTAAGATTGCTCCTCACCGGCCGGGCCCGAGGAGCTACCCTGGCATAGAGAGGTATAGGCATCCCGTGGTCACAGTCAAACTTCGGGGCAAAGGCGCAAGACCTGAGGCTCTAGACACCGGATGACCGGTATCCCTAGCGAGCTTCGGGGGATCGCCGGGTGACATTGGGGCTGAGGGAAAGTCTCTAATAAGAAAATGGCGGGCGCAAGACTTGGATGCAACAAAATCTGCACTGAAGGAGCGCATGCCGAAGGATTGCGCGGAGATGCTTCGTGGCAGCGGCCTGCCGTTTTCAAGGAGATACTGGAAGCTTGCAACCACAAGATGAGACCATAGTCGGCGACGTCGCGGAGAGGTTCAGAAATGGAGGGGGCCAATCCCTGAGTCGGGTGTCTGTCGAGCCAAAAGGACAGCTGCAACTCTACGGCGAGGTATCATGCACTCTACGAGAGATTGAAGCGATGCCGAGCTGGACGAAGCAACTTTCGCTGCTACGGAGGACGAGTTGTGCAGAGGTTGATTGTATTGACCGGTTCCCGAGTCAAAGCTTCCTCTTGAGGCCCTTGTGTCTGGCAGATTCGGCATATGAGAAGGATGGAAATTCCGACCTATTATTGATAATTACTTGGAATCCGGGATAGAGCCTCCAACCAGTGCTAGCCATACCAGCACGGTTCACGCTGCCGACTGCATTGCTGCTGCTTTGTCAAACCGAATCCATCACTTGCCAGCCATGAAGAAGGTCGCCGATCTCGTCCTTCGCTCCTATCCATAGCCTACAAAAGCCTTCCTTTGCATTGACTTTGCATCCTAAGTCCATTTCTGATTGCCTTCTTTGCACCAACAGGCACCAACCTAAATGCCATCACAAGCATGTTCACGCAGCAAGCTTGGTGCAACGTCTGTGTGACTACGGTTTTTTGAGGACAAGGCGTGGGACCATGGAGCTGTTACGGCACCGCCCAACATGCCTAGCCCCAGCAATGACCCAATCTCTCACCACAAGGTGAAATAACCTGACCAACGGAAGCTGTATCCTTGGCCTTCTCTGGTTTGTTCATGCGAACCAAACAAGTCACGGATGGCCAAATCCTTGTCGACAGCGGATGCCGCGCTCGCTCTAGTGACTCTAGTCGATCTTTCTGCACGCCTCTTGGCCGATATGCGGCTAGCAGTCTGATCCAGTCCGGCTTTGCGATTTGGCAACTGGCAACCAGATCCTGAGACGGACAAGCTGGAGGCTGCTTTGGCCAATGGTCGCCTTGGCGACCCGGACTTGAAGCACCCGTCCTTCTGGGAGGTGCATTCTGTAAGATGATCAATTTGGAGCGCCGGTTTGTGTGGGATGCAACAGCTTGGCAGCTCTTACCAGTTCCAACATTGCCAAATTCCTCCGCGTAAAGGTACCAATGGAGCAGCTTCAGTCGGTGATGCACCGTGCCGGTGACGTCTTCACGTAGGATTGAAGGAAGCTTAGGGAGCTGAGCCTCGGACCCGAACTCGAGAATCCCACTGATGCCAGCCGGGTTGTCATCGTTGGAGGCGTCCGCGTAAAGGCGCCAATGGAGCAGCTTCAGTCGGTGATGCACCGTCACCGTGCTGGTGACGTCTTCACGAGGATTGAAGGAAGCTTAGGGAGCTGAGCCTCGAGCGGTTCAGCGTGTCAGGTCCCATAGTTTGCCGTCCCCTCAAGAAACACCGCGCCGGCTGTTTCCCAAACTTCCGGCATAGCTGGACCAGTCCACCCCAGAGAGCCAGATCACAACTTCTTCGAAGAATCTTTTTTAATCTCACAACATGAGAGAGTGCGGCAGGGACCTGCTGGGCCTACATGGCATGTTCAAGAACGGCCCCAAGGGCTAAGATACGAGATGTCCCACTTGCCTCGAACTTCTTGGTGCGAAGCCTGTTGCAACTCCTTCCGTGAAGACAACTTTTGCTGATATGGGTAACACTTGCGAGGACATTCCGTGATCGCTCCGGACTTTATTTTCACTAGAACGAAGGAGAATGATGGCAACCTACCTCGTATGTGTGGATAGCTAGCCGAAGTTTGTCAGGGTCGTTGTGCGGAGTTCCAAGCGGTTTGGAACCTAAAGCTGAAGAAGACGGTGTACGGGCAACTCGTGCTCCGTTTGGGAGCAAGTCCAGTGTCCACTCTGTCTGTCGGACGTCGCTGGGAATATGGGGTTGTGCGCACGGTACTCCTTTTACATTGGGGAGTCTACTTCGACGACTTTGTCGCGAACGAGACTCTTGTATCCGAAGTTTTTTTTTTGAGCTATGTGCTGACGGCCTTTTCTTGATCCTTGGAAGAACGACTGCGAGCCAAAAGACTTTTTCCTTTGATTCGATAGCGGTTGTACTAGGCCTGAGAATAATTGTGCAGGAAGCTGGTATGGAGCCCATTGATTGCGAGATTGCAGAAAACGCAGTGGAGTCCTTGAGGCCGGATTCTTGGGCCTTAAAACAACGAGAGGTTGAGGGGGCGCCTTCGATTTGCCGATCAGCAGACGGCGGGTAAAGCAGGGTCGGGAGGGATTTGCAAATGCAAGATTGTCAAAAATGTTTGTGAGAAAAGGCTTACAGAAGGACTCACAAACACAGGTCACACGCCTCCAACGATGACAACCCGGCTGGCATCGGTGGGATTCTCGAGTTCGGGTCTGGAGCTTTCATCGGGCACTTCAGTGAAAATCTTGATGAGGCTACTACCCAGCTTGTCTTGAATACATCTGGTAGCGAGCAACCGATCTTTGGGTACGAGTGCTTCGCCATTTGGTGTGGAATCCACACTTGGGCTCCATCTGTCAAAGGATGCCAAGTGATCACCTTCTCAGACAACGAGGGTGCCCTCCATTACATGATCAACGGCAGGAGTGACAACGGCAGCGGTGGCAACATCGTCGCAGCCGGCCATTCCATCATGGATGATTGCGCTATCAATCCCTGGTTCGAGCGAGTCAACACTGCAAGCAACTTGGCCGAGTGTCCGTCTCGAGGAATCTCAGGAGACACTTGGGGCGCAAAAGTGCGAATCGACTGCTTGCGGCCTGCGATTGTCGGTACCCATTTGGGGGCATCTAAGAACGGCGACTGGCAAACGCGGGTCGCCATAAACGAGTTCATGAAACCCCTTTCTTCCGCGTAGAGCAAACATGAGTGAGTCTGCGAGCCGTGATTCGTTTTTACTTGATATAGTAGCAGAATGAAGATATTTGATATTTGGCTTACCTCGTAGGTTACGATCATGTGCATGTTTGGAAATTTGGAATAAGACTGCTTTCAATAGCGTGATTGATAGATCTTTATTCTTGTTCCAACATTCATTGAAGATTTCGTGCGAAGTCTTCATGGACATGCAGTCGTGAAGAGTTCTCCATGAAGCCATTCTGAGGTGGGATGTGGGTAACCCTTGAACAACTGATGCTCCACAGCATGAGCCCACCCATTTCTCTTTTTTTGGGTGTGAATTGCCACCTTCCCGATGAGTCGGGGGTGCGATTATCGGGTGCAAAGGCGGGTCGCCATAAACGAATTCATTGAATTCCCCTGGTTCCGCTTAGAGCGAAAATGAATGAGTCCGCGAGCCGTGAGTACATAAAAAGCATATTTCGAGACTCATCTTGATTTGATAAGTTATGGAACGAAGATATTGAGCTTACTTCGCAGGTGAGGTATCCATGTGATCAGTTGCATGTCCTTGGTTTTGGAAAGTTGGAATAATATTACAATCTTCTTGATACCCAAAAAAATTTGTCCGCATGTCAATGCTCCGTCGGCAACGGCCAAGCGCAAGCTTATGTTAGCAGGACGTGCTTGAAGATCTGTTTAGTTTGGATCGGACTGGCATCGGACTACCACAACGTGCGATGGACTGTTTTGTGGTTTTGGGCAGAGCAGGTGTCAAAGTTGAATCTTTTGGCATCTATCTTCAAATCGCTTGAAAATTGTGCGACGCAAACGGAATTTTCCAAGATTTTGGTTGCATATCATGTAAATGTAAATTGGACGTAAACTTTGAATTGATTCAACTCGTATCCCTGCAGACTCATTGGCGGTTCCGGTGGCCGGGATGGACTGCACCGAACACCAAAATGTCATGCCGGGCCTCAGGTCTGCAGCTCCACCGTTTCGCTTGCAGACATGTCGTGTTACCAATGTCAGGAGAGGCATGCCACGTGGGCACTCAACGAATCTCGGCTTGGATTTGCTTGAAACATCGACGAGTGGTTGCTCGCTAGTCCGGTCACACAGGCTTGGTTATCCGTTCCGAGACATTGCTTGGCTCTGCCCATACTTATTTCCAGCATAACTTGAGCCATGGAGGAAGCTGCCAAAAGAGCACGACTCGCTGGTCAGAGCCTAGCAGGTTCTAGCGCGAGTTTGAGGAACAAGGCGTTACAGGCCTTCAAGAAGCACTTGGTGGAGAAGAGAGCATTGATCGAAGAGGCAAATGCCCAGGACAAGGCAGAGGCCGAAGTTGCAGTTAAAGCAGGCAAGCTCTCCAGTTCGCTGTTCAAGCGTTTGGACGTTAGTGGCACGAAGTTTGACACTCTTTTGAAGGGGATTGATGAGATCTTGAGCTTGCCAGACCCGATTGGCCAGGTGACCTATGCAAACAAGGTTGCTGAAGGTTTGGACTTATACCGGCTGACATGTCCGATCGGAGTTCTCCTCATCATTTTTGAAGCTCGACCTGATGCCGCTGTTCAAATTGCATCTCTAGCCATGAAGTCTGGCAATGCCTTGCTCCTCAAAGGTGGCAAGGAGGCGCAACGATCCAATGCAGCTCTTGTGACCGCAATGTCTGCAGCTTTGCAAGATGTCGGCCTTCCTGCAGATTGCATTCAAGGGGTCGACACCCGCACAGAAGTAGCCGAGCTTTTAAAGCAGGACAAGTACATCGACTTGGTCATTCCAAGAGGTTCCAACGAGCTAGTCAGGTCTATCAAGGATGCCTCTCGCATTCCTGTGCTGGGCCACGCAGATGGAATCTGTGCCGTTTATGTCGACAGCAAGGCAGACTTGGAGAAAGCAGTGAAAATCGTCGTGGACTCCAAAACACAGTACTGCGCGGCGTGCAACTCCATGGAGACACTTTTAGTGCATGAAGCTGTGTGCGCACCATTTTTGCCCAAGCTCGCAGCAGCACTGGAAGGAAAGGACGATGTGCACTACAAGGCAGACGCGACATGTTTGCCCCATCTGCCGGCAGCCCTTTCCGAGCCGGTGCAGGAAGATGACTTTGATACAGAATTCCTGTGTCACACCTTGGCTGTCAAGGCAGTTGCTTCCGTCCAGGAAGCGGTCGACCACATCAACAGCCACAGCTCTGGGCACACGGAGAGCATCGTCACGGAAGACCCCATGATTGCCGAAACTTTCCTCAGCCGGATTGACTCCGCAGGTGTCTACCACAACTGCTCGACCCGATTTGCTGATGGCTTCCGCTATGGATTTGGAGCAGAGGTGGGCATATCCACGAATCGAATCCATGCACGCGGTCCCGTCGGCCTCGAGGGTTTAGTGATCCACAAATACCGGATGTATGGAGCTGGGCACACTGTCACAGGATTCTCAGGCACAACTCCCGAGCATGCCTTCGTGCATGCCCATGTGCCCGGGGTGGCACGTGTCGACGACATCCCACAGGCAAAGAAAGCCAGAAGATAAGAGCATAGGAGAATTCGGAAGACTTCAGGCTTGTACAGAGTAACATAGATGTCTTGCGATTGAGAGGTCGGGTGCTTGCAACGCCTCGCAAAACACTCTTGGAAAGAGTCCAGCGGGATCTTTGGCCGCCTGGACCTGGACAGCTTATAAATATCGTCAGCCTGCTTGGTAAACGAACGTAGAGGTTGCTCCCTCAGTCTGCATCCCATTTTGCTGTCAACTGAACGTCCCGAGATCTTCTCCGCGGTAGGAGCAACAACAGGAGCGGCTTGTGACAGTTGCGAAGTTGATCTTTCGAGGCGACATGGCTTTCCACGTTCCCGACTGATTGATAGTTTTCGGTTTGCCTGGAGCCCTGAATCGTTGTGACTGCCCACAGGGCCAGACGCCTCTCCTGTGGCAATCTTCATCGCATGGCGCGAGCTTTCTCGCGCAAGCCAGCTTGAGGCCAGCTACGACTTTGTGAGTGCTTCCGGAGAGTGCTCGGACTCGTGTGGCTACTCGCTGCCACTGCCAACGTTGTTGATACTGCTACCTGCTACTGCTACTCCTACTGCTACTGCTACTGCTACTCCTGCTGCTACTGCTATTGCTAGTGCTACTCCTGGCGCTGCTGCTACTGCTTCCTTCTGCTTCTGCTGCTGCTGCTGCTGCCGCCACTGCTGCTGCTACTGCTGCTACTGCTGCTGTTGCTTCTGCTTCTGCTTCTGCTTCTACTACTACTACTACTGCTGCTGCTGCTGCTGCTGCTCCTACTACTACTCCTACTACTACTCCTACTACTACTCCTACTACTACTCCTACTACTACTCCTAGTCCTACTCCTACCAGTCCTACTGCTACTGCTACTGCTACTGCTACTGCTCCTCCTCCTGCTGCTGCTGCTGCTCCTACTACTACTGCTGCCACTACTACTACTACTACTACTACTACTACTACTACTACTACTACTACTACTACGACTACTACTACTGCTACTACTACTACTATCACACGGCCCCTCTACTTGGTGCGATTCCCGAAGCCCTCAAAGGCATTGAAACACACATTGGCTTGATTTCCGAAGCGGTTGTCGGCACCCTAAAGCAACACCTTGACAATCTCGATGCCAGCTTCTTTCCTTTGAACGGGTCAGCGAGAGAAGATCCCCGAAAGCCTTCGAGGACAAAACCGTTCAGTTGAGCAGGCTTGTCTCAACATCAATATGTCACTTCAGGAGTTACACACCAAGCTTGACGGACTGGATTCAGCTGCCTCGTCGACTTCGAAGGAAGTCACCGAGCATCTTTGTGACATGGTGCATGCCCTCGATAACAAGATAGCAGATCTAGTGGTGGCCCAGGCTACCCTCTCTCGTAAAGTCGATAAGGTGAGCGCTCGATTTGAAATCCTACGGAGGATGATACAGGACCTTGAAGTGCAGCAATCGGCAAGTGGATACCGGGGGACCGGGGCATGATGCTCCACAGATCGAACAACACGAGGACTTGCAAGGGACACGACCTAATGCTCAGGACAATTCCACTGAAGTCAGTGGAGAAGCTGCACCCGAGGTGCCGCCACCGAGACGCCAATACAGGTGAGCCAAGGCTGTCAGCCTGAACCAAAGCACTTGCAGGGAGCGGACTTACTGCTACTCCTGTCGAACATGAGGCCTGAACCTGCACGTAGACAGCGGTTCGTTCTTGCTCCCATAACTTCCTTGAATGCCGCACTGAAATTAGGAGCTGCTGCACTTCTACTTGCCTGTCATACTGCTGCAGCAAAAAGACCTTTGCTCAGTCCTGGTTCTCAAAACCCCTGGCACCCATGCTCTGAAACAACCCAAAACAACCTTGATACTCCCTTGCTCCATCGGCTCAGGCAGGCACAGAGAGAGGGCGCGGCACGGAAGGGTTGAGGTTTTCTTGCAACATGAAGCTGAGCTCCCAAAACAAACCATGCGCATGTGAACAACTCATAACAACTCGCTGCAAAGGGTTCGTGCCGAACTCCGCGACGAACTCATCCCTGCAAAACCTTCAACCTCGCTCCCATCCTCAAGTTAGTCCCCAGGAAGCTCTGGACAGGTGCTCCCAAACCTCACGGACACCTTGTGTTCGGGAGATCACCTAGGTTACCAAACTGTTCTACTGTTGCAACCCGCTTTTGCCTTGAACTAACTAAACTCTTAGCATACTTTGTTTCGATGAACCTGCCCGACTTTTGCTTTGCAACCATAGGGGTTCGAATTGGGGGTAAGTTGAGTGTTCACAAGGATTTCAACACCAGAGGAACCAGCGCAGTATTGTCGGGGTCGGGAAGTGGGACTTGTCTCTTTCGGAATTTTGACTTCGGAGGCACTTGCTTTGAGGATTCGGACGAAGGTTTCCTTCCGGGGGTTATTTCTGACCTTTCTGAGGGACCGGTCGTGTTTAATGCCAGACTCCTCACTGTGGGCTGATCAAGACCCCCAACCAACGACCCACTGCCCCGCATCAGCATCTCCGCTTTCTCAGTCCAGCAAGAACTTGCTCTCCTCGGCTTCTGTCTTCCCAGGAAACAACAACATACCCTGGAAACCTTCTTCACAACTGTCCCGAGAAACCACCTCTGCCTGAAAACTCCTGAACCCTGCAACGACAGCACGAAGCCGTCCCTTCAAGCAATCATCGTGATTGACAGTGACCAAGAAGAAGAGAATGATTCAGATGATGCTGACGAGATTGTTGATGCCACCTCCACACCGTCGTCTCGTTCCGGTGTTATTGGGAGAGAAGAAGAGGGACGGTGAATAGCGTGCACGCACACACACACACACACACACATGCGAGGGTGCGCAATACATCCTTGCTGAATTTGCTTCGCCGATTTTTGCGCACTGCTTTCCTTGCCTCTTGCCCTTTCCCTGGTTTCACTTCGCTGTCCCCTTCTTGCTTGCCACTTCGCTGCTCATGCCTTGCCCTAACTTTTCTGGTTTTGGGGGCTCGGTTCTTCCTTTATTGATTCCCTACTTTACCTGGTTTTCTGTCTCCCTGTGCCCTAACCCCGCCTGCACCCTTTGACAGCCTGTTTCACTGAAGCACCGCCCTGGAATCCCGCCTGAGCTCACAAGATGTCCTGTGACCCTGCCATACCCAGCTTGGATCGAACTGGGCAACAACGACTCTTCCTACCTGGAGCCCCCAACTGGCGCACATACCTGACACGATCCACACCGATTCCACAGAGGGGCGGAGCGCCACAAAAAACCCTCAACAAGCAAATGAAAAACTGGAAGACGCTTGCTGTGGATCTACAGAACGCTTAGTATGCTGAGGCGGTTCTCTTGAACAGAGCCGACTGAGGAGGCCGTTCCAACAGCCCCCTCATCTCGCTGGACGTGGAGTATCTGGGTTATCTGATACAACTCCAGAGCAGACCATGATGTGTGATGAGAACCGCAACTTAAGACGTATAAGACAGCGGACCTGGTCTGAAGCAGCCGCGCGTGGGTGCTATGAAGAACAAAAAGAAGCACAAATTGCGGCCCTAGTCTGAAGCTGCCGCGGATGTGGTATGGGACACCGTGAGACAGACATGGCTATTTAGCTAACAGAAAGTCCAGCTGACCTGGGAAGAAGAAGGGGGCCGTGCAAACACAGTGAGGGCCAAGCCCGATGAGCTGAGCCCATTTCAGTGTGTAGTGTAGCTTCACCTGATTAATACTTGATCATGCTGTTTCTACACGAATAACTCGATCCTTGCCGCAAACGTATGAACTGCAACCAGTAGTGTCTTGCACCAAGCCAGTGGGGAGAGGAGATTCACACGGGCTTTTAGTCAGGCGTGGTGAGCCTGTATTATGGTTTTTCCTCGCCGTGTTGTTGACGGTTTTGAACTGGATCTCCTCATAGCCCTCCAAATACCTTGTGATTGCCAACTAATTTGCTGACATTGGAGTTCAGTGAAAGCACCTCTGTTCAGCATCATGTGAGGGATACTTGTCTTGCTCTTTTTACATATTGTAACATACTTTTGGGCCTTCGTCATTTATCCTCTCTTTGAACTAAGAGTGAGTGAACAGACGCTTCGACCGATGAAACCCCAGAATCCTTCTGTGGCTTTATCTTCGTGTTGGGCTGTTGTTTTACTCGTCTGGGGATCATTTTGGCTAGTTGCCATTTAAGTCCCCGCGAAGCTGTCATTGGCGTGCCATGCGGGTGACAAAACTACTACAACTGCTACTGCTGCTACTACTACTACTACTACTACTGCTACAACTACTACACAGCTGCAGAAGTTGTAGAGGTGCCACCAATTGCAAACTCGACGGAGAAGAAGCTGCTAAGCCACGGGTTGTCGGATAGTACGAAGTTGCTGAAAAATACCTTCCAAACGCAGGTGCTCCTGTGAAGGCCCGATCCCAGCACCGCAGAGCCCCACAGCCTCCTCCTGAAGCAATGGACTTGCTACCCACAACCAGTGTGTACTGGCTCGTCATGGAGCCCAACTGGAAGGCTTTCGCCTTCCTCAGCGCGGTCATTCTTCTGGCATTGTTCAAGGTGAGTGCGACGCTCAGCCAAATCGGCCGCAGTCTTTTACAGCTTTCGCAGCTGCCCCAAGAGATGGAGTTCCTGAAGCAGCAGATGAACCTATTGACGCAGGCTCCTGAGCCACACCCAACTGAAGGGGCCAAGGAGACCATGGAGATTATGGCTTCATTGACGACGCAGATGGACTGTGCTGATGCCAAACTTCTGGAACAAAAGAAGCAAATCCTGGCCTCCAGGTGAGCAGAGTGAACTCCAGTCCAACGTCAATGAGCTCGGAGCCTCTGTGGAAAATTCGCAAAAGCAAATGCAGTTAATGGAAGACCCGATCAAGCAGAATCAAGAAAAGGTCACGTTGGGGAGATGAAGATGATTGCCGTGAAGGTGGAGTCCACGGAGCTCAGTGAGATGAACAAAGCGATCCAGCAATCCTTGCTGGATGTCACCAAGAAGCTCTCTACGCACAAACAGAAATCCATAAATCCAAAATTGGTCCTGGCATCTTTGTGCGGGGTTCTTACTTTTACCCGCACTCTCGCCTCTTCCACTCGCCCCCTCATTCACTCACTCACTCACTCAACTCACCCAGGCGACCCCGCGAATACAGCGCAGCACGACGCACACAGCACAGAACTATGCACGCCATGCATACAGCACGATGCACACAGCACAGCAGCATAGCTCTGGGGCGCTTCCGGAACACCAAACCCTCTTTCCAGAGGGCTCTGTGGGATGCGGCGCGCGCGATAAGGTCACAGAGCCCTGAGGCGCCTCCATGAAGAGTTTAAACGCCACTAAACTAAACGCTCTCTCCAGAGGGCTCTGCGGGATGCGGCGCACGCGATAAGGTCCCACTACCAAGGTGGAGACAACAGAGTTGGCAGATTCCAACACCTTGGAGAAGCAAGCCCGAAAAACTGGTCAAGATCGATGCAG